AAAACAATATATATTTTCCCTCGTCAGAAATTCTGATAATGTCTTATTTCTTGTGGGAGTATGAATTTATATAATCTTATAATTCCAGGGATTTTCGGTGAAAAAAGTCACCTTTCAGAAACCACTGTGCAGAAATATGAAGTATACAAAGATAACAGGATTTTTGTGTAGCAATGTTTGTAAAACAAAATACTGAGACAATTCTCAATGAGGGATTAGTTATGTATAAAGCTAGTATTATTCATGACAGAATACAACTGTCCATTTGAAATAATCCAATAAACATGAAACTTTAAAAAAGAAATAATAGGGCCAATGTATATAATAACATTAAGAGATGGTAAAGGATAATATACAAAACAAAACAAAAAGACAAAATGCAGAATAGCATTTACCATGTGGAATCAGTTTGCTGTACTAAAAAGTACATATATGCTATTACTATAATGGCTCCTTAATTTTGTAATAAAGACCTGTTTGATGTTTCCCTTGTTTTTTCATATGAACTAACTCTAAATTAGTTATGTAAATAATATATGCACATAAAAGGCATGGTCACCACAGGAAGAAGGAAGACTGGTTTTATGGTTTTGGTGTACTTTACACATTGTGGCAATGATGGTGAGTCATTCAGACAGGACCACAGTAACAGAAAAGACAGAGAATAAGGAACATAGTGGATAAGCTGGGAAGCTCACATTCTGATTGCTTCAATTTTCTCCACGGAGTGCTGGGCCTTTGGGAGAAAGCAAGGATAGCAATACAGAAAAGGACAAAACAGACTAGAAATGCTTAAAGAAAGCTGGCGGGATGGCTCGGTGGCTAGTGGTTGGTGCTTGCCACCAAGCCTGGAGACTGACTTTGATCCTTCCTGGTCCACACGGTGGTGAGAGCCAAGTCTTGGAGGCTGTCTTCTGATTTCCCAAAGCGCGCCCTGGCACCTGTGTGCTGCGCCTCTACCTGCACCACATGAACGCAATGAAAGAAACTAACGAAACAAGACCCAGAGGTGTCGAAAGGTCAGTGTGGCAGTGCTTGCCAACCTGTGACACCAGCACCTGAGGAAAAGCAAAGGGAGTCTGTGTTTGAGGTCAATCTGGGCTGCAGTGTAAGGCTAGACTGGACTACAAGGTCAGCATGGGAAACATGAGACCTTGTATCAAAAACCAACTAAATCAAACCCAAAATACTTAAAATACAACTGTCTAGAAGTATCAAAGACCAAGCAATGTAACAGGCTGAGCAGAGGAAATGAGCAAGAACAGACAATGGGATAAAGATAAGGATACTTACTATCTGGGAAGCCAAGAGAAGAAAGTGTTCCCAGGAAGGGAAGGGTAGAGTGTGATCTCTTCCAGTAATAGACAGATACATAGTTGCGGACACAGATTGGACAAGATAGAATTAGCAGGAATCATGGTTTTGCCAACTAATCATGATGAAATGAGAGACCCTCAATGGAAGAAAAACACTAGAGGAATGATTATTATAGGGGTTAGTCATGGAGTTTTAGGTGAGGAGTGAAGTCACCGAGGAGGTGAGACACGATGGAAGCCCCAGTGTGCCTGGAGGATTGCTGAGGTCTGTACTGAAGACAAGACAATGGGCTGGAGATGTGCTGTCAGGGGCAAACACTGTGTGAGGCTCCAGTTTTGCTTTTCAGTATTGCAAGCGTGAGCCAGGGAGCATGCAAGACCAGCACAGGTGGAAAACATCAAGCTAATGGAAGAGCTGCAGCTGTTTGTAAGGAGCCCAGGGGAGGAGGTGAGCAAGAATGTTACAGAACTGGGGGTCAGGGCTGGGAGGTGGCACATGGGTAGAGACCTGAGTTTGATTGGCCCTGTAGGCAGGAGAAGAGCACTGGCTCCTAAAAGCCCTGTGACCCCATATGGGCGCTGCAGCATGCACACATCCATGCACTCACTAAATAATTTTTTAACACAGAATGATATTGTAGAAAGTTAGATTAGCAGTAGCATGGAAGAATGGTCAGGAACTCAGCTTGCGGAGAAAACAAGAATAATTTTAGGGTCATTAGATGGTAACCCAAAGGGAAGTGGGTGACATAAACTGGTCTCAGATTCCAAATTGTTGGTTTCTAGTAGGGAAGCAGAAGGGTCTGAAGTGATGACAGAGGACAAAATGGGCACTAACCCATCTCTAGGTCTACTGGGTGAGGATGACAGAAGGAAACAGGAGAGATCAAAAGGGAAAGCAACGTTGAGGGCAGTCAAGTGCTAACACAATGTTGTGCTAGGACGGACCATCAATTCTAGAGAGTACAAAAAATATTTCTGAGCACTTAGTTGGAAGGCAGAATAAAAAAAATACACAGACTCTTAAGAGACTGAAATATGGAAGATTGGAGACTGTGGTGCTTCCTGTGGCAACAAAAACTTAGCATAATACCGGATTCTGTAGACCCTCAATATGTCAAGGCATGAAAAAGGATACTTACAAGCTCATTTTACACCACTGGGGAGAGAGGTAACAACACAAAATATACGTGGCATATCATCATATAAGCTAGATCCCTTAAAACCCAGATAATGGGTAGATTTAGGGTTTTAGATGGCAAGGAACTTCGCAAATGCTTTGTGATAACAGCCTCACACTCCTCACAATCTGTAACAAGCTAACAAAGACAGGAAAACCACCCCAGCAGGTGTGCGACAGTCCCTCTGGCTCTAATACAACTGTAGAGACAGACAGAACCGACATCTTTCTGCCAAGAGACTCATTGACCAGGGGAAGTAGACTGAGCTCTCACAATCTAGATTCTAGAAGTTTAAGTGGCAGAAGCTGTGAATTTTCTTAACATTAGCTGGGCATAGTGCTGCACACCTGTAATCCCAGCACTCAGGACACAAAGGCAAACTTTCCTATGAGTTCCAGGCCAGCCAGTGCTAAAGACCCTGTCTCAAAAAACAGCAACAGCAAAAGATTTGTGAATACTTGTAAAGATACAATTGGGTGAGTGCCACCTAGTGGTGGCACAGAAGAAAGTCACAGGGAAATGGCAAATACCCTCTGTTCTTGCTGGGGAAGGGGATTATTGTCCCCTCCAAAGGCCCCTCCTGAAGCCTAAAGTCAAAACAAAGTTAGGCAAGACCAGCTGCCTGCTGTTGCCCACATTCTGACTGCTGTATAACAGCAACAAGCTGCAGAAAAAAGCTGGATTTGGTCTAAACCTAATTAGAATACTGCTTCTTTTAATAAAGATGAAAATAAAATTTAACTACTGAACGTGCACAAGGAGTTAGAAGGCAGGATCACCAGAGCCCACGATAAATGACTCTTTCTTGGTCACAGCAGACAAGGTGAGGGTGTGGAAGTGTGACACCTTCCAAACCTGAGTTCCGTGCATGCCTTGCTTGATGGAAGGGAATGGATTATGTAAATTCCTGATTTATAGGAAGAAAAGAGCTCAGAAACAAGAAGGTGAATCTGAAGGAGAAGCAGCCACACCCATATCTGGGTAAGTTTCTGTCTCTTAGTAAGAGACACATACTCTCTTCCTCCTCTCTCTCCTCTCCCTTCCCTTTCTCCTGGGATGGAGCCCCAGGTCAAGTGCCCTACCACTTAGCTGCCCTTCTTAGTGCCTGCTAGACTTGAACTGCAATACTCCTACCTGCTTCATCCTCCCGAGAAACCGGGACTATAGGTGCATGCCAAAAGGCTCGGCAGACACACACATATTTTTGAACTTCAATAGAGTAGTGGTTGGAGGCATCTTTGACTACAGGAAGCAGGTATGAAGATTTGTTTTTTTTTTTTTTCTTCCCTGTCCATTCTTAGAGGAGTTGATAGATATAACTGAGTTTTTAAGTATCAGTACAACATACAGGGACACAGACACATTTAACAAACAGCAGAAAGAAAGTCAGGTCTAGAGTGTAAGGAAATAATAAAGAAAATTTAATGCCCACAAACTTCCCTATCAATACTAGCCAGCTACTGTGCTGAAAACACCTCAGGAGGGTCTCTACTATAGTAGATAAGTACAACTTATTCCTCTGCCTGAACTAGTTTTGCTTGAGTTGAAAACATTACCATCAGAACGTAGCTTCTTCTCTAACCCTATACACACAGCAACTAACCGGCTTTCCCTGATCTAACGTTTCCGTCAACGAAAGGATGAAGTCACACGCCAGAGCAGCTGCAGTCTCTGGGTATTTAAACTTTCCAAGGTTCCCAGGAAAAGCAGACTTCTGGGAAGCAGAGATCTAGAACAAAACTCCAAAGTCATGGTTTGAACGTACTACTCAAACCATATCTCCACATCACTTGTGAGATGGAGTATTGAGAGCACAATACTGAGCACTTATTTCCTTCGTCTGTATCATCAGTATTAAGACTGAAATTTGGAAGCCAACACTTGTTTCAGTGTTGAAATTAAACTGGGGGCCGGAAATGTAGCTCAGTGGAAAGTACTTTGCATAAAACCCTGGGTTCAATTTCCAGCACACAGAACTCCCCCAACCCCCAAACACAGCACACTGAACTGGTTCAATATTCAGTCTGGTACTCAAAACTACTTCTGAAAGGATTAAGGACCAAGGTTTTTTACTGATGTCTTTGTTCTGTGTGCATCACTAGAAACAAAGTAAACACGGTATTATAGTGTAGAGATCTGGATCCTCCTTATGTCTCAAATTTTAAGAGCTCAAATCTCTTCCCTGGTAAAAATCTGAAATCCTAAAATAAAGACAGCATACTGAAGGTTTAAAAAAAAAAAAAAGAATGTATTAGAAGCCATGGACTAGAAGTCACAGCACTGGGGTTTGGTAATATAACCCCAGAAAAGACCTCTAACTGTTCAGTCTGCACTTGCTATAGCAGAGAAGAAGCACAATCTACTGTTTCATAAGATTCACTGCAGGTCTCTGTGGAGGGTGTGGGGCTAGCCAATTTCCATCCTCTAAGAGAAATTCCTTTACACGTATCTAACCCTTTTCTCTCTCAGCAGACCCAGCTAAAAAGCTCTTTTGCATTCTTACCTTTGGAAGCTGCAGGAACCAAGGGCCAGGGTGAAAAAGCATGAGGCATTGGAAAGAAACGGAACAGGAGTTACATGGATCTTGGTTATCGTAGACAGCCGCAGTTCAGCCACCCAGCTTGTCAGACTACTGGACAGAACCATAACCCATCCAAGAGAACTATCAAAAGGGGCCAAAGCTGAACTTTTGGTACCTTGTATCACTGTTAGTATTCTGGCACAAAACACAAGCAGCAATTCCCTTTCCCAGCCCCAGGAACCCCCTAATACAAAAATATTCTCTGTTTCTTGGAATGGAAAAGTCAATGTTTCTTATTCCCAACCTCATTCTACCCTCACCGGGGAAGGAAAAAGTTCTCCCTGTTTGGAACTAAGGAGAGCACTCACTCTTGGTCTGGGCAGAGAAGGCAAGGGTAAGTTTGGCAAAAAGCTCGTTGTTCTCAAAGCGGTCCTCCTTCACCTTTGTCCAGAAGCAGTCCTGGGAAAGGTCCTCAGCCACAAACTGTATAAACAGACAGGTGGTAAGAGCTATTGGGATGAACTCTGAACTCCCTGTGCTGGAAAAGTCACTCCAATTGTCTCCAAAAGTGACTCCAAAAGTCACTCAACCAGCCTGAGACTAACTCAGGACACAGTGTCTGTGTCCTTCATGGGGGATCAGGAGATGATGTTTCTGGTATGTTTACTGGTAACTACTCAAGAATCAAAACCAGTTACAGTGATCTTCCTCCTGATCCCAAATCTTCTATTTCCACGAGCATTAAAGCCTTTTTTCCAGTGTTCCTTGCCCTGTTTCCCCCATCAATCTGGCTACATTTAACTTAGTTTCTAGAAGCAAAAGACTGACCTGACCAACCACAGGGCCCACAAACACATAGTGGGCTGCACACAAGCATAATTTCAGTCATTTGCACTGAGTGAAGTGACAACTGTCAGCTACCATAGTGCTCGTTTCATCAGAGTAAAGGCCAGATGTGTTAAGATAGGGTAAGGTTAATTAAAATATCTTCACATAAAGCCCACAGTTCTTTCTGTGGTAACTCAACTAGAGATGTTATATAAACCATAAACACAAGTAGAACTTGAGGGCAGATATGAGCCCTAACAGTGGGTAGCCTACGCACACACAAAAAATAAGTCAAGAAAAGCAGTTTAAGATCTAATGTTGGATAAAAACTTACCTTGGACCAATTTGGCCTCCGGAGCTGCACCTCTGGCTTATAAACTTTTTTAGGTGTTAATCCGAATGGCAGAACTGGGGCTGCAGGAATCCCAAATCCAAAGGGGGGTGGTGGAGGCAAGCCCATTCCGGGTGGAGGTGGAGGGATACCTGGGCCTCCGGGTAAGGGGGGAGGGGGGGGAGGCAGTCCTGGTCCTCCAGGCAAGGGAGGTGGTGGTGGGGGCCCAACACTTCCAGGCAAAGGAGGTGGAACTGGTATAGTAGCACCTCCAGGCAAAGGAGGGGGCGGGGGGATGGGAGCAGACCCAGGTAAAGGAGGGGGAGGGGGTACAGCAGTACTGCCAGGCAATGGAGGGGGAAGGGGTATGCCAGGGACCCCAGGCAAAGGAGGGGGAGGGGGTATAGAAGCACCTCCAGGCAAAGGAGGGGGCGGGGGGATGGCAGCGACCCCAGTCAAAGGAGGGGCAGGAGGTGGGAAGGCACCGCCAGGAAGAGGAGGCGGGGGTGGGGGGGGTGGGATAACAGTGCCAGGGCCACCAGGCAGAGGAGGGGCAGGAGGAGCGGCAGCGCTGCTCGAGTCAGAAGGAGGGACAACCACAGTAGAGAGAGAAGCCATCTCCTTCTTGGCATCTTCTAGCTCTTTGGACAGCTTGGCAACCTAAAGAAGCAGCACACAAGAAGTACTTCAAAGACTACGGGAGCCGATAAGGACCTAAGAAAGCAACTTTCTGTACAACCACAGATGGACTGAGTGGTCAGATCACATGATTCTTCTCACTGATAGTAGTAGTAGAATAAAACTAAAACTCAAGTCTTCGTGTTCTTAGTTTTAGTGTTCTTTGAGTTTATTCGACTATAAAACTAAAGTATGTGCTATGCAGTTAATCCCACAACGGTACAAATGATCAAGTTAGCAGTATTATGGGTTATCTAAGCATTTGTAACTGCAGAGAAAGGAGAACAAAGGTGTCACAGAAGCATAAACTAAGTTGGATGGGCAAATAAACCAGTAGATTACTGTTCCCTCCCAAATGCATTAATTATTTCTGGATTCTGCCATAAGTAACTGTCATCATTCGTTACATTTTTTTGTGTTTTCTAAATGTTTTGTCTTATACACTATACTCCCAAAGCAAGACTAAAACCAGTAAATGACTGTCACAACACGCACTGTCGACCTGATGACGCAGCTGCTCTTCCCTAGCACAGGGAACCTATGACCATGTGGCCCATGACCAGCACAGCTGAGCTATGCAGGGCAGCTGCAGACACGCTGCTGTCCTGCTCAGACATTACCTCTCCCGTCAGCTTGGACACCTCCGCTTCCAGATCTTGCTTTTCTGTAGCAATCTGCTGCTTCTCAGAATCCAATGCTTCCTTTTCTCCTTGAAGATCCTGAAGTTTCTGTTCAAAGTCATTTTCCATCTTCTTCATTTCTACTTGTAACTCATGCCGGGCTGTTAACTCTGAGTCCAACTAAAGAAGGAAGGAAAACAGTCTCACAGCAATCTTTCTATCATCACCTCAGCTGTTAACACAACACAAACCTACAGTCAGCTGGGAAGAAGACCCTCAACTGAAGAACTGCTCAGATCAGACTGGCCTGTGGTCATGTCTGTGTAGCATCTTCCTAACTGCTAACTGGTGCAGGAGGGTTCGATCTACTGTGGGCTCTGACATCCCTAGGCAGGTAGACCTGATCAAGCCAATGGTAAGAGGCCAGTATGCAGCATTCCTCTAGTGTCTACTTCAAGCTGCAGCCTTTGCTTCCCTTGATGACAGACTGTCAAACGGAAGATGAAGCACACCCTTTCCTCTCTAAGTTGCTTTAGGGCATGATGGTGTTGATCACAGCGACAGAAAGCAAACTTTCTGTTCATCCCAGATAGGAGCATATGGATTAGTTCCTGTAACTTACTATTTTGTCTCAACACCTACACTACAGAGCTTACTGATCCACCTAAGCAATACTTGGAAGAGGACAGTATGGTCTTGACCTTAATGTAAAAGGGAAAGATTTATACGATCTGAAGAGAAACCAGAGTATCGATCTTGACCTTAATGTAAAAGGACGAGGAGACAAGAGACCATGTTCACAGTCTTCCTATTTATCGTTAGAAACAAAGCCAGCTAATGTAAACTTTCAAAGACCTTTAACCATGTCCTGGTTAGTTTTATGTCAACTTGACAGAAGCTAGAGTCATCAGAGAGGAGGGAGCCTCAACTGAGAAAATGCCCCTATAGACAGGCGGGGGTGGGTGGCACTCAGGAGGCAGAGAAGGGCAGAGTTCGAGGCCAGTCTGATCCAAAGAGTTCCAGGACAGCCAAGGCTACAGAGAGAAATCCTGTCTCAAAAAGAAAAGAAAAGAAAAGAAAAGAAAGAAAGAAAATGTCCTGGTAAAATTGGGCTGTAGGCAAGTCTGTAGGGCATTTCCTAATCAGTGATTGATGTGGAGGGCTCAGCACATAGGCAGGACCACCTCTGCAGTCTGGGGTTTCTGGCTTCTTTAAGAAAGCAGGCTGAGCAAGCCATGTAAGTAGCACCCTCCATGGCCTACGCATTAGCTCCTGCCTCCAGGTTTCTGCCTCAGCTGCCTCTGATGAACTGTTACATGGAGCTGTGAGTGAAATAAACCCTTTCCCCCATAAGTTGCCTTTGGTCATGGTGTTTCAATACAGTGACAGTAACCCTAACTAAGACTAACCAGGACAGCTGCCTTGCCCGATCCCAGCCACAGGAGTATCCCAGTTCCTACTGTCCTGGAGTAAGACTTAAAATGCACACTTACATGGAGAATCATCTCTTTGCTGGCTTGCCTGCATCTCATTTCTCATCAACACCCTCTCCCCACTAACAAGATTTCCTCATAGGAACCTTTAGATTCTGAAGGCTTTCAAAATATCACAGACAATACTGTCTCACATGTCAAAAAACAATTATCTTCAAAGAAAAATATATACCTCAAATTTACTTGTGTGTATGTTTGTTTTCCATATATGCATATTTGCGGATAACACTAAAAACTGAACCTAACTTTTCTCACACAATAAGCAAGCAATCTAGCACTGATCCCCTCATACATACCTTTTTTTCCAGCTCTGTAGCTTTGGCCTCGGACTTTTCCACCTTTGTTTTATCAATCATTTGATCTGAAAAGAAAAAACAATGTGATCCGAAAACAACTCAGTAAGTAAAGTTCTTAGTTCCCCAAACCTGCACCCATACTCAAGGGCAGTTGTCTGTCCTTTTTTTTTTTTTTTTTTAAGATTTATTTATTTATTACTTATACAGTGTTCTGCCTACATACCACAAGAGGGCACCAGATTGAATTGTAGATGGTTGTGAGCCACCATGTGGTTGCTGGGAATTGAACTCAGGACCTCTGGAAGAGCAATCAGTGCTCTTAACCTCTGAGCCATCTCTCCGGCCCCCCCTTTTTTAAAAAGCAATGTTTTTTAATATTTTATTTCTTTATTATGTATTCAATCTTCTGCCTGCATGCCAGCAGAGGGCATCAGAGCTCATTCAAGGTGGTTGTGAGCCACCATGTGGTTGCCAGGAATTGAACTCAGGACCTTTGAAAGAACAGTCAGTGCTGAGCCATCTCTCCAGCCCTCCTTTTTTTTTTTTTTTTTTTTTTTTTTTACATGTTTTTAAGACAGGGTTTCTCTGGGTAACATTCCTGGTGTTCTAGAACTTGCTTTGTAGACCAGGCTGGCCTTGAACTCACTGACATCCACTGCCTGCCTCTGCTTCCCAAGTGCTGGCATTAAAGGCATGGCCACCACCACCTGGCTTAGTTAGTTGTCTGTCCTTTAGTTGCTGTTACTCTTAATGTTCTATACTAAAACAAGAAATCCAAGTTTCAATTAAATATAATTTGCACTCCCTTTGAAATTTTATGTATATAGTTGTTTTACTTTTTTGTGTGTATAGGCATGTGTATGTAGTATGTGTGGAAGTCAGATGACAACTGTCAAGAGTGATTCTTTGCCACTACATGGAATCTGGGACACAAACTCGGGTCCTCAGGCTTGCATGCACCGTGCTGGCCCTCAAGCTATGATTTATAAGTGCAGGGTAAGGCAATCACATGAAGAATGCCTGTGTGACATTTGTGATTCTGAAACCAGCAGGGTCAGAAAACAGCTGGTCTCTGCAAAAAATGGATATAAGAAAGGGCAAGATTTCCAATTTGTGCAGGAATAAACTAAGGAGACTATGTAATCCTAGCAAAGAGAGTATACTGAGAAACAAAAGTAGGGACAAGAATGATTCCTCTTTCACTGAAGAAGGAAACAAAGGGTAGAAGCACCGAGTGTTGTAAGGAGCCACGTAGGAAAGCGTGCTTACCAATCAATCCCTCAATATCAATCTGGAGGTGCCGGCACCTGAAGTCAGGGTCAGTCCCATTCTTATGTAGCACTATCTGAGAGATACATTCTTCAATCAATTTATAGTACTGTGGCCTATGAAAGAAACAAAACGGACTTATCAAAAGGAAATAAAAATGTAACTTCTAGAAGTATTTTGGAGCAAGAAAAGTTAACTGCTTTGACAATAAAAAGAATTAAGAATAAGTATTCTAAAAAGAGTTTGGTGAAGCTAATAGAAGCATCACTGTTGTGCTAGGGAATTCTCCTTGTCTATATCAGCTTTTATCCTTTCTACTTCAGATATTCAACAGCTCCTACAATCCGGAGCTGTAGGCCAGTGGTAAAACATGTTCTCAGCATGTGGAAAACATGAATGCCGACATGCATGTACACACACACACACAATAAAGATGTGTATCTGTGTAGAAAAGTGTCCATGGACCGTGGAGGTCACAGTGTCAGAAGAATTATGGGTGCTTTGTGAATGCATGTTTAACTGCTGAGCCATCCCTCCATCCCAACATTCTCTCTCTCTCTCTCTCTCTTTTTTTTTTTTTTTTTTTTTTTTAGTTTTTCGAGACAGGGTTTCTCTGTGGCTTTGGAGGCTGTCCTGGAGCTCGCTTTGTAGACCATGCTGGCCTCACAGAGATCCACCTGCCTCTGCCTCCCGAGTGCTGGGATTAAAGGCGTGCGCCACCAACGCCCGGCTCCAACATACTCTCTTAATATCTGCATCCCAGTGCCAATACTACATATCTAAATAAACACTCAGACTTGATTCTTATGATCCTTCTTGTTGTGCTACTGCTGATGTCTACTTCTAGGCAGCCAGGAAGAATTTGAGGTCACCATCTCTCTTTACTGTCATCCTTACCCAGCTTACACATTCCTTTCTAAGGACATTTTACTTAATATACAATGACCTATTCCAAAGAGGTGCCTTTCAACTGAATTAAAGCAGCTGATAACTTCCTTTAGATCTGTGACTAATGAACCTAACCCACAGTCTTTCATTTCTTTTTAAACTTTCTAGAACAATCTTTGAATTTAAAGATGCTGCTTACCTGGCATCATAATCATTTCGGACCAGTAAGAGATGCTGCAGGATGGACAGGAAGTGTGGCTCTGCCTTTGAATCTTTCACCGTATTTAAAAGAATCTGGAAGACTTCACCAAAGTCAGTAGAAAGGACAGGCTAAGGAAATCAGATGTTTGACAAGTGGCTTACTCAAGAGAAAGTAGCAAGATGCCACTTCCACTCTAAGAGCTGTTCCTAAAACATCACTAGTTTCTTTAACCAAGAGTGCTACTATCCAGACACAGGGTTCCTAGTACTTAGCTTGAAGATCTAAGACAGAAGCTAAAAATAGAACCACCTCAAAGTTACCTGCGGCAGGTAATCAAATACCAATAGTAATATTGCTTATCAGTCCAGAGTTCTACATAGCACCCATCTCAGTAAGTTACCATGTGCTAGGAAACACACAGATTTGGATGGATGTGAGAGAATCTGGCTGTGACATCTGTCACTTCATAACAACACTGACTGCCAGGCTAATGGATGCTTTCATGCTAAAAAAGATTACTTTTACTGGCTTTTCTTGTCTATTCTGGACAGCAATAGGAAGATGTCAGCTTTATTTATTAAAAATATTTTTGAGACAGAGTCTCTCTATGTAGCCCAAGATGGTCTGGAACTCAACTATGCAGACCAGGCTGTCCTCAAACTCAAGATATTCTCCCTAAGTGCTCGAGGACAAATGCAAGGCACGTGCCACCACACCCAGCCTTATGCCCGGTTCTAGGTCATTTCCCACACTACTGGGTAATTCAGTCATCAGTCACAAAAGGATATTCCATCTCCATGCGGATATCATCCAGCCGTCCCTTCAGATCAAAGAAGTCTTCCTCCGCTTGCTCATCAAACACGGACAGCTGTACTCTCATATCCTCATTTTCAATCTCCCGAAGCTCCTGGCAACGACACAGGAAATCAGGGAGTCCTATGGCCTAGAAATCCAAACCTCCCAACCTAGTGTTTAAGTTGAAAACCAGAATCGCCTCAGGGATGATTGGGGCTGTATGAGCAACCCAGCCTTTCTAATGAAACATTTTATCTTACCTGCAACACCTGCTGCAGCCCCAAGCGCATCAGTTCACTTCGAATGTGAACTCGGAAGTCAAGTTCTTCTGCAGGAGTGATGAGAGCATTGATCAGCTGTAGGCATCCCACCTGAAATATGCAAATTCAGCTGCTTTGTCAACATTAAGTCTTATAGATAAGGATTCCACTATTTATATACATCCTGGAGCTCCATAAAGGATACATAATAAAAACTATAGGAAACACTATTTTACTAGAGCAACAAAACATTGTTTAGTGCAAGTCTGGAGTACTCAGTGTATAAATGAATCCAAGGATCTAACCTTGACTTTCCTAAGGTGATAATAAATAACTGGTTTATCCCCCCAATATCACAAGGAGAAAAAAAGCAGTTCTTTGTTTTTTAAAGAAAAAATCATTTTCTTCAGAAGAGAAAAAAAAACACTAAAATACAAAAAACACAGCTGAGAATCACTCTAATTGTTTTTATTAAAAACTTCCATTATTTTCAATTATGTGTGCATTAATGTGTGTGTGTGTGTGAATGCAAACATGAATGCCAGTATACAAAGAGGCCAGAGCACCTGGTGGTGGTGGCGCACGCCTTTAATCCCAGCACTCAGAAGGCAGAGACAGGTGGACCTTATTGAGTTCAAGGCTAGCCTGGTCTACAAAGCAAGTTCCAGGACAGCCAGAACTGTTACACAGAGAAACCCTGTCTCAAAAACAAAACAAAACAAAACAAAACAAAACAAAACAAAACAAAAAAAAAAAAAAAAAAAAAAGAGAGAGAGAGAGAGAGGCCAGAGTTTTCAGGTACCCCTGGAGCTGGAGTTACAGAGAGTTGTGAGCTGTCTGAAGGGTGCTGGGAATTGAACTTGGCCCTCTGGAAGAGCAGTATATGTTCTTAACCGATGAATTATCTCTCTAGCCCATATAAAGTCTATTAAAAGGCTAAATGATATTTAGACATGGTGGTATAGACCTGTGCTTCAGCAGACAGGAAGATCACCAATGCTTGCCTGAACAACTAACACATGTGTAATCCCAGAACTTGAGAGGTAAGAGGATCAGACATGTCTAGCCTGGACTATACAGTGAGTCTAAAGCCAGTCCCAACTATAATACAAAATAAAAATATCTCAAAATAAAAAATGAAAAGGGGCTTCTAGCTCCTTGTTCAGTGGTGGATCAGAAGTAGGAGACTTACTCAACATAAGAAAAGCCCTAGGTTCAATTCCCCACACCATAGGAAAATGAGCAACAAATGAACTCTGGTCTTTCCATTTTGAATTCTATTCTACTCTATTGCCTGCGCAGTTTTAAGGGTGTATACACATACTTTGAGTGCAATTGAGGTCCCACTTTTTAGTCCGTCCAGCAGTGGCTGGAAGCGCTCAACCTCATCCATTTCAGCCCTCTCTGTCATTGCCTCCAAAACTCGTTCATTCCTGTCCAAGATAAAGAAAAGAGAATGACCCAGGTGCACTGACACAGACATGGACAGAATGACAGGAAATAAACCAATTAGGAAACAAGACATTATCAATGCTCCAGGTTTCTGAAATCATTCTCTTAGCCCCCACAGACACTAGAATCCAATAAAAGCAAAGGAGTATCTTTTGAGAAAGTAATTTCCTAAAACCCTTCCTAGAATCCTAACCATGAATACAAAATTAATACCTCTGAGCTACAAAATATAAATTACTCTTCTTAAGGACCATTTAATAATAAGAGTACTAATCAATTTCTAATACACATTACAAGTGGTCCACTTCTAGAAATCTATCCAATATAAATGCATAAATGTAATAGAAACTATGTATAAAGATGTTTGTTATGACATCATTGGTAATGGAAAAGAAATTCGTATCATCTACAAAGTCAGAATCTGCTTAAGTATACCTAAAGTCTAGAAATAGTGAGTTCAATTCCCAGCACCACGTGGTGGCTCACAACCATCCATAATGAGATCTGTTGCCCTCTTCTGGTGTGCAGACATACATGGAGGCAGGATGTTGTATTCATAATCAATAAATAAATCTTAAAAAAAAAAGAATGACGTCCAAAATCTACTGATAAATAAAAATAACCCAGTTGCGGCTGAATATGGTGGCACACACAGGTAATCCCAGGACTTGGGAGGCTGAGACAAGAGAATCACACATGTCTAGCCTGGACTATATATAATGAGTTTGTGGCCAATCCTACTACAAAACAACTCTGCCTTACAATACCTAAAGAGAAGGGGAAGAGCTGGGAAAAAAGAGGGGGTATGATTTTACTTTTGTTAAACCAACACTTCCAAGAAAACTAAATCTGTTCTATACATGTAATAGTTTGTGGGCATAAACTGTCACTTCTCAGCTCTAAGACTGCAAGATCTCAAAGAATCAAGGAGACAGAATGTTTAGGTGAGCCATTAGTAATGGTTCTTTCAAAGCAGGATTTGGGAAAGGAATGGACTTTTAAATTTTTACTTCATATACTTTTAATAGGATTGGACTATTAAGAAAATGGGCTGCTTCTAAAATTAAATATATATATGACAATAAAAAACCTTTGTTCCGAGCAAGACAGATATTAATAAAGATGCAGCAGATAAGCTAAGCTGGCTGGTTTTTATATCAACTTGACATAAGCTAGATTCATTTGAGAGACGGGAACTTCAACTGGGAAACACTTCCATAAGATGGGCTATAGGCAAGCCTGCCAGGAATTTTCTTAATTAGTGATTGATATGGGAGGGCCCAACCCATAGTAGATGGGACCACCCCTGGGCTGGTGGTGCTGGGTTCTATAAGAAAGCAGGCTGAGCAAGCCAGTAAGCAGCTTCTCTCCAAGGCTTCTGCCTGCAAGGTTCCTTCCCTGTTTGAGTTCCTGCCTTGGCTTCCCTCAATGGATTGCAAATCGAGATATGAAAGCCAAATAAACCCTTTCTTCCCCAAGCTGCTTTTGGTCATGGTGTTTCATCACAGCAACAGTAACCCTAAGATATAAGCCTAGTACTCCTTCTTGTTTTAAAATGTATTACTTAGGTGAGTGTTCTGCCTGTGTGTCATGTGCATGCCTGATGCCCAGGTATGAGGAAAGGACATTGGATTTCCTGGATGTGAAGTAACAGATACTTGTGAGCCATCATGAGTGTGCTGGGAAGAGAACCTGGGTCCTCTACAAGAACAACCCCTAAGTCATCTCTCTGTCCTCTTATTAGACTTCAATGGACACTCACATCAGTCATCATCATTTAGGAAGGTTACATTTTTTAAATTCGTGTGTGTGTGTGTGTGTGTGTGTGTGTGTGTGTGTGTGTGTGTGTGTGTACGCGTACATGGACATGTGCATGCACATCCATTAATCAGAGGACAACTTGTGGGAGTCAGTTTTCCCATTTGTCAAGTAGGTCACTGGAATTAAACTCAGGTCATAATGCTTAGCAGCAGGTGCCTATACCCTCTGAGCCATTTCACTGACCTTTCCTTTTATTAGTTAAAGGATTACATTTGTATTTGTGTACATGTGTGTGCATGTGTGTGTTATGACATGTGTTCATGGAGGTCAGAGTTACTAGGATTCATTCTCTCCTACTATGGTGGGTCCTGAAGTGCCTTTACTCAGAGTTATCTTGCCAGCTACAATCTTTTCTTAAATTAGCTTGATTATCCTTGTTCGAAATGCTTTAAATCATGTCTTATAGTTAAAAGATACTTTGGAATAGTTGCATATACAAAATGAGTTTATCTTGAGGATGATATTCAAGCCTAAACATGAAACTCTTATTTCAAATACCTTATAGCCCAAAGGTAATTTTATACAGCATTGCTAATATTAATGTACACATAACCAAGTTTCACAGTATGGAATTTCCTACTTGTAGTATCATGATGGTATCAAAAGTTTCTGTTTGACGTATGGTGGATCTTCAAATACTCTACCTGCATTAAAATCCTAACATTCACTTCTGAGAAGAAATATGGCCTCTAAGACCAAGAGGACACTGAAATATCTTTCCTCTGTGCTACAAGATAGTAAAATGAGAATGGAGAAATAGTTATGGCTCAGGTCACATACATGTCCTCTGGCTGTGGTAGGATACAAAGAGCAGACAGCAACTTAGCTGCATCAATCATCATATTGGGAACAGCAGGGTCCATGGCTCTGACCAGCAGTAGGATTCCTTCTTCTGTCTCCAACATGGTTTTGATTCCAAACTGGTCAGACAAGAACAAAGGAGGGAGGCTTAGCGACAACACACACAAACAAGGACATGTTTACAATTTTTTGTTAAGTAGAACGTTACTTAAATACTTAAATACATGTAAGAATGTTAACCCCCTATAACCCTAAAATGGATCCCCTTGGGATATAGTCATTGCAGATACCATTAGCTAAATGACAATGAAGCCACACTAAAGTAAGGCAGGTTCTTAATCCAGTATGCCTGGTCCCTATACAAGGGAGGAAATCTACACTCTACATGAGAGAGAGGGGGAGGGATGGAGGGAAGGAGGGAAGGGAGGGAGGGAGGGAGGAAGAATGAGAGGGAACATCACAAGAACACAAAGCAGAAATAAGAATATGCATCCATAAAGCAGTGTCAGTGACCTACTAAAAAACAGGAGGGAACACAGACCACATTCTCCTTCCCAGCCTCAGAAAGAACCTACCCTGCTAACATGGGATCTTGGACTTTCATCCTTCAGAACTGAGACAATGAATTTTTGTTGTTTAAGACACCCACTTTGTGGACTCTAGAAACTAGCACAGGAGTAAAGAATGTTTTCCCAATAACAGGTGAACAGAGACAATTACAACAAAGTAAATTTCCTAAGACACACAACAAAATTTCATGTCTACATAGGGAGTTCCAGTATGCCCAGGGCTGTATAGTGAGGTCAGACCCTGTCTTCAAAAATAAAATAAAAATTTTTAAATGAATGAATATTCTGGAAGAAATGGCATACTGGCATACACCTGTAATCCCAGCACTTGGGAGGTGGAAGCAGGAGCAACAAGAGTCCAAACAAACTTAAGGGAAACTTGGACTTCTTAAGATTGGGAAACAAGGAAGGAAATATCTCCAAACAATAGCTACTGGTCAAATAACAAGCTTAGCAAAAGAATGTAAAGTACACGAACACTTAGCCTACCCTCTGAAACAAAAATGAGAACCAGGGGAAAGAATTCCATGGAGGCTCACGTCTGAGGCAGTAAAGAACAGTTTCAGCACAGAAAGGAGAGCTGAAGCCTTGAGCATCAGTGTCTTCTCCTGGCAGACTGCTAACAAAGGTAAGTCATGAAGACCTAGATGGTGGCTGGGGTCAAACAGGAAATCTCACCTTGTTGTTCATGAAAGCTTTCAAGCAGCGGATAATCTCATGCTGGTTCCGGCTGTCATAGCTTCTGCACAGAGAAAACATCACCAGTGAAGCCCCTTTATTTTATAACACATCCTCTTTCCATATAATTGTTCAATCTTGCACACAAGGACATTAGGAACGCTTTCAACTAGCAGCTAAGTAGAATCTAACAGTCATGAATACAGCCCAGAATGTTCATAGATGACAGCATTATGCTGTGATGTCAAAAGGCAGTACAGCCCTACATCACAAAGCACTTGACCCAGAAACACTAACAAAAATAATCAACTGGCGAATACTCTTGTAATGTGAGAACTTAGTATTAAATCGAAAACCTGCCAATTTGGGGTTGGGCATAACTCAATAGTACAGCACTTGCCTAGCAAGTCCAAGGCCCTAAGTTTGAACCCTAACACTATTAAAAAGTGTGTTAACTGTGCAAACACAACTCCATCCCTTAACTCCCTTTAGGCAGCTAGGTCCTAAATCCTATCAAGATACTATCCCATCTATTACTCCTTGCCTAATAATTGAAAGGCTTCATATCTGAGAAAGTATACACAGACCCAATCCCTGTACTGTATCTCAGAAAAGATTCCAGAAGTATTGGACACTTTGGATGGCAGCATAGTAGCCTAAAATGGTTTATGATATTAAAAAATGTATTCTAATCCTGAAGACTGCTGTAAAGCTAAATCCAAACTAATAAAGTATACTCCAAGAAAGACCTCCAAGAGTAATGTGGCCCAAACCACATCACAGTACAGCTGAAGGCAAAATCAGACCCTCTTTCCAGACAGAAAAAGAACTGGGGACTAATAATCTTTACTGGTATATATCTTCTTCCCTCTAATATCCTCTACAATAAACTTCATTTTTCATCTAACAGCATATTCCCCTAGTCCATGACTCTGAATTTAACTGTTATTTCCCTTAATGCAAAGCCCATTCTGGCCCTCAACCTAGAAAATATAAAGACCCAAAATTCCTTACCCAGAAGTTTCCTCTCTCTCATCATGGAGTCGTTTGAGGATGTCCAATAGGGAGGCTAGGCCCTCAGCACCAAATGTCTGCACCCAACTGTAAGGAATAGACGAGAGGCAATGTAGTATCAACTTAAACCAACAAAGGCTATTGCCAAATCTATCCTAGAAACCCTTTACACAGCGGTGGTGGCACACGCCTTTAATCCCAGCACTCGGGAGGCAGAAGCAGGCAGATCTCTGTGAGTTTGAGACCAGCCTGGTCTACAAGGGCTAGTTCCAGGACAGCCTCCAAAGCCACAGAGAAACCCTGCCTTGAAAAACCAAAACCAAAAGAAAAAAAAAAAAGAAAAGAAACTCTTTACTCCCAATCCATACCTTTCTCATACTTCTCTGCCTCCTTTGATTGGGAACTACAGTATAAGTTGCTGGTACCTCAGAATTCTCACCTGACAGGGTTATTGTTGAGAGAGACTCGAAGAGACTCAAGGCAACTAAGCAGATGCATATCCCGCAAGCCTGACCTCAGCTCCTGAATGTACATCATGGCAGATCTAGAGCTCTCTTTCTGGTTCATGCCCTGGAAAGAGGCACATATAGAGAGAGGTCAGTAAACACTGGGCCCAGTCATAAGTTGTGAGCTAATATTCATCAACACAGTTTAAAAAAACACCAGGACAGACACCTATTACACAAACTACCAAACTATGTGAGATTCATAAATAGTTCATGAACTTGAGTGTGTTTAAGTCGGAGAAAAAGGTATAGAAAGGTGGCAACTCAAAAGCAGGCTTATCTAATGGGGTGAGGCAGGTTGACAGAGGCACACAAGAGTCTATAAAGCTAGCAGAACATGCAGGTCCGGGATAAGGATGCCGCCTGCCTCGCATAAACAAGTGCCCTAGAGCTTACAGCACTGGAAGTGTGCAAATACTGGGACACCATCTCCCTCTTGATGACAATATCCTTCTCTCTCAAAGGCTGCTGCTTCTCCTCATTCAGGTTCATATCCACCTACAAAGGGAGGAACAGGGAGGTAGAGACAAAAAAGTAAAGTTTTTTTTTTGTTGTTGTTTTTTTTTTTTTTTTTTTTGGGCAACAGGCCCTCACTCCCCCGAGATGGCCTGAAGCTCACAATGCAGACCAGGCATGTCCTGAACTCACAGAGATCCCTTGCCTCTTGTAAGTTTTTAGTGTTTGATATTTATTATAAGTTGAACACATTAAATCACTAGTGAACAAATACGTTTTCTTGACTCCTAGAGGTTTAAGTTATGGTAACCAATAAAAATTCCTCAGGGATAAAATCTAGTTCATTTCAGTACAGATTCCCACAGACACCGCCCTTGGCATGAGGCCTAAATGCTGACATACATGCTGGGTATACATACACTCTACCATTGAGCTATGTCTTTAAACCACTGAACACTTTAAAATATATACACTTCTGATGGTTCCCCTGGAAAACAATGGACTCTTGATACATTTTCTTTTATGTTACTGAGAAGAAATCATACATAATATTTTCTGCATTAAAGGCAGACCTTCATCTCTCCAGTACTGGAGAGCTGCTGGTATTAAAAAAAAAAATCAACACTAACAAAATCTACCCAAACTGGGTTATTGCAGAAATGTCCACTCAAAGCGCACCTCTTCTGGAGACAGCAAAGTAAGTCACAACCATGCATAGCTTACAACTAAATCAACTTCAGATACAATCTTTAAAGACCTTCTATTTAGAGCTGGCTTTAGCATTCTCTTTCCAAATTCCCACTAAGCAGAGGACCTCAGGCAAATGATGCCTTTGTATTCTTCAGTTTATTCTTTGTACAGAACTCACTGTAAATGCTTTCCCACTTCATATTCTCTGACTTAGCCTCAAAGTGATCACCATACTACCACAGGGCTTGGTCCACTCACACTACATTTTTGTGGCTAGAGTAGTGCCAGGCAGATACCCATTAACTAGGTAGTCAGTAATCAGATAGTCCCAAGTTTAACGTACTGTAATTTACATATTTAGTCATTATTTCATTGGTTTTAATATTAAAACATTTCACATTAAGCCTAGAATCCTTCATAGTAAACATCAACTTAGAGACCATGCATTTAGAAACCACCACCACCACCACAGACAAATGCTCATCAGCACATGCTGGGAAGGCAGCAACGTCACTGGAAGGCGACTTACCAGCATCTGCTCAAAGAAGACGAGGACTTGCTCATCTGTGATGTCGTGCAATGGCTGCACAGCGGGGTCGTCTCCATATGATGCAGAGGAGTTTCTGTGAGCAGAATTGGGCTTTTCCTTCTCCTTCTTAATCCTCATGCTGGTAAATCTTTCCAGCTATGAAACAGAAAGAAGTATTAGCAGCAATCCACACTCCTCACCTAATAAACCAAACACCAAGTGGCCAACACTTTACCCTCTTACACTGGCTTAGTAGTTTTAGTTTGTGCAGTCAAGATTTATATGACATAAAAAGAAAAAAATCCTTTTTCCTCAGATCTAACACAGCACACTGACTTTATTCTCATCTACAATAAAGTGTAAGGAACAGAAAACGCTGCATTAAGGTTTCAAACCTCTCTAGGCTGGTGTGGTGGCACACATCTTTAATCCCAGCACTCAAGAGGCAGAGCAGGTGGATCTGAGAGATCAAGGCCAGTCTGGTCTACAGAGTGAGTTCCAGGACAACCAAACAAACAAAAATTTAAAAGCTTTCTAAAAAAAAAACAAACAAACAAACAACGGTTCTGCTATTTCTAAACCGTCTTAGCAGCATAGAACCAAAAGTATCTCATGTACAAAGTCATCTCAATAAAATGTCCTTTGTTTCCTTCTAGCTACCAATAATAAATGTGCTAGGGTCCATGAGGATCTTTCCCTTCAAGAGTGCCTGTGACCACAGAATTTAAGATAAATAAGCCTTAAGGGATAAAGCATCAGATGTCTTAAGAATCAAGATCTAGTCCTTTCTCTTCCTTTTGTTCCATGGCACTTGAGATATTAAAATAGAGTTCAAATCTCTTTGCATGACATCTGCTCAGCAAAAAATCCCTTCTACTTTAGAGGTACATATGCTATTTCCCTGCTAAACAAATACTAATGAGCCACCCTCAAACTCTAAGTATAAATGCTCACAGTAGAAAGAGCAGCCAAGGAGTGCAGCATTGGTGGTGTAATGGTGAGCAGAGCTGCCTCCTAAAAAGCGCCACTGAGTTAAGTGTGGTGGCACACACCTGGAATCCCAGCATGCCAGAGCCTGAAGCTCAAAGCTCAGGCAGCCAGGGCCAATATCAAGGTCAAGGCTAACCTGGTCTTACATAAGGGGCCCTGTCTGATAGGGGTGAAAGAAGCAATAAGCTTCAGCTTTATGAGGTCGACACTGAAAATATCAGCAACTGTATGCAAAAACAACACACACACACACACACACACACACACACAAAAACCACTGTGGGGCTTCAAATGATGCAAGTGGCATCTAGAATGCAGGAAGAGTTCTAGTTAAAGAAACTGCCCAACTGTGGAAGGGGGAAAAAACCCACCAAGGAAAGCATGCAATGGGTTAAACAAGGTTAGAAAAGATCTGGGGTACTCTGACACTAGACCCCATGCTCCATTCCAAGTAAAGTTACAGACACGTGGTGAGTGTTAAGAGTAGAGAAGACGAATCAGAACATGCACATGTCCCATACATATTTCCTTACCTCATCTGCCATGAGCCGCTTCAAAGTCTAGGAAACAGAGAGAAGAGAAGAAGAAGAAGAAGAGATCAGTGAAATATCAAGGGACTTCCCAAACACCATAATGGTTGAAGGGAGAAAGGAAAAGAAAATAAATAGAAAGACCCTAAGCTACCAGATTTCTGCCAAGGTGTGGCTTAGTACAGGCCCTGGTAAGGGGCAAGAGAAGTTATAAGAACAGTAACATAAGATTTAGGTGGTGGGGGAGTAGAGAATTGAACAGATTCTAAAACCAATGCCTAACCAACTTCTGAAAAGTGTTCAATTTCATTAGTAAACAAGAAAACACAAAATAAAATCACACTGAAGCCTGGACTAGTTGTACAAGCCTGTACCGCTACTTCCTAGCTACTTGGTAGGCTAAGGCGGGGGTATTGTGAGTTTAAAATTTGTGTGGGCTAGTGAGGGAATCCAAGGCAGACCCAAGAAACATAGTGATACTCTGTCAAAACTTTAAAAGGGAGGGAGAGGAGGATGGGTTAAAAGCTCAGTGGTGGCCGGGCGGTGGTAGCGCACGCCTTTAATCCCAGCACTTGAAATGGAGAGGCAGAGGCTGGCGGATCTTTGTAAGATCAAGTCCAGCCTGGTCTACAGAGTGAGTTCAGGACAGGCTCCAAAGCTACACAGAGAAAACCTGTCTCAAACAAACAAACAAACAACCAAAAAAGCTCAGTGGTAAAGAGTCCTTGCCTAGCATGCAAAAGCTCTAAGTTTGACTCCAAACATCACAAATAAATAGATCATAATAATGACGTTATCAGCTCATATTCTCAAGGCTGGTATGTAAGATTTGGGGTCTGATCCCCAGCTTTTTATCTGTCTAGTTTTAGAGGAACAACAGCTCTCTCACACTTTGCAGGGGTTAGCACAAACCACTGGGCCAACATTATCAAGTAAAATCAAATGAATATACTTATAATTCAATACAGCAGTTTGTAAGCATCGGCCCTGCTAAAGTGTGCACTTAAGTAACAAAAACATGCACAGACATTGTGATAACTGAAACAGAAAGTCTAAATAGCCAGTAATAGAAAACAGCTACTCAAAGAAAGTGAATAAACTTTCAACTACTCACAAATATACAGAATCATCAGTTCACTGACACAAACATTACGAACATGTAAGATTATAAAGGGCACCAGACCTACAATTTGTCCTGCCTACCAGATGAGCTGGGGTAAAGATGGACCAGAAATTATGAGAGTGATCAACCAATGACTGGCACAGCTGGAGACCATACCCCTGAGGGCCAGGACTCAGAGGCAAGATACCCCAGAAATAGGATAGAACCAAATACAAAAGGCAAAAATAAGTAAATAAATAAATAAAAGTCAGTGGAATGATTCCTAATGATACTGTGCTATACTCATAGATTGCTTCCTAAGCCAACTGTCATCAGAGAGGCTTCACCCATATCCATTCATCACATTGGATCTAAGAGTTGTAAAGTTGGGTGTGGTGGACCAGCACCTGAAAGCAGATGAAAAGACAATGAATTCAAAGTCACCCTCAGCTACAGAGTGAGTCCCACTAGCCTGGGCTACAAGAGACTAAAGCAAACAAACTCATTGTCTTTAACTTACATCCAAACTCCTTACCAGGGTATGTGACTCTGCTACCCTTCCCCGCAAGGTTTGCCACTGAACAAACCTTCTTCCCTCAAATGCTTATTTTTTGGCCATGCTGACCTAGTTGCAGGCCCAAACAGTTCACACCACCTCACCATCCCAGCCTTTCCCTAGACGGCTGCCTCCCTCTGCCTACACTATACTAACTCTAGCAGGCCTGGCAGGATGATTGCTCCTCTTGGATAGGTGCTTTTCCTGGTGTTTCCAAAATAGCTACCTGTCTGACTCACAGTATTGAGAGTGGGCTACAATTTTCTTTTGACTGCCTGCTCTACTTACTTCCAGACTAAAAAGTTCCTTGAGTGTAGAGCCAGGGACCTAAAAGCCAACCCTTGGAACGCCCTCAGCATCTGTCTACCTCTTCACTCCATCACTGAAGAAACCAACACCCAGACAGATGGAGCAAATCATCAGTCACACGGTCAGAAGTCTTCAGATCCCGAAGCCCCCAAATCTCTGTTCCCACATTCTTCTGCCTGATTCCCGTTTCATTTCAAAGAAAGAAAATGCCCAGTTCCCTTGTTTTCCTGGAGCACCATGAGAGATGTATCTCATTCTTAAAAATAATTTTTAGAGGCCTGGGATGCACTCATTTGGTAGAATGCTTGCCAGGATTATAGGAGGGTTCTGGGTTTGCTACCAACACCACATAAATCTTACACGGAGATGCAGGGGAATCAGTTCAGCATCATCCTTGGTTACACAGTAAGATCAAGGGAAGACTGGGATACATGAGACCTTGTTTCAAAAAAATATATACTAAAACAAAGAAACACAATAAAATAATCTATGTTTCAGTGCTCAACTTGAACCACAGAAGTAAATCGTGCAGAAAAGCTGCAGTTCCCAAGAAAATCCAACAGAGGGCAGCAACACCCAACAAAGCAAATAACAGAACAGACCAAATTCTATTTCTGAATCCAATAAAATACCCAAACAAACAGCAAGCTCAGCTACTGAAATGGAAACCTGTTACTACAGGATCCTGAGAATATGGTTTACTCACTCAATGCTGCATGTTTTATCTTACAGATTCTATACACAGGGTTTGAAATGACTTTGTTTAATGTTTAAAATAGTTTTAATTTTTTCCTATACTACATGTATGTGTGAATGTCTGCACGTGTGTGCCTGGTGTCCAAGAAGGCAGAAGAGGCATTAGATCCTGTGGAACTGGGGTCACAGGTGTTTGTGAGCCTCCTGTGGGTATCAGGAACTGAATGGCCCCCTCCTAGTGCTTTTAACTGCTGAGTTACCACCCAGATTATTCAGTTTTGTTTTAGTGCAGTCTATGAAGAAGATAAGGGCATTCTTAGATCACAAGAAGTCAAAGAACCGAAACATGCACTCCGAGGGACAAAACTACTAGAGGTGCACTTGTGCTAGAGGTACCTCCGAGTCCCTCCGCCTTCAAGACTAATCTCTACCCACTCTAAGCACTCCTGCTCCTAGTGATGTGCAAACCTCACTGTCAGCCCCCCCGCATCACACTTGCTGTCTCTGCTCTCTACAAAAACAGAGGCTGAAGGAAACAAATACTGAGGTAAATAAAATCTTAAGACAGCAAAGAAGATCCGGTTCATGATGAGATTAATAACTTCTAGGTAAAAGATAATAAACAAGCCAGGGATGGTGGCACATGCTGATCTGAGTTCAAGGCCAGCCTGGTCTACACAGTGAGTTCCAAGACGGCCAGGGCTATGCAGAGAAACCCTGTCTTGAACCCCCCCCCCCAAAAAAAAGAAAGAAGGGAGGAAGGGGGGTGCTAACTCAAGACTAGGAGAAAGCTACTCCAGTAGTTAAATCCCTAGGCACCCCACAGTGCCACTGGAAAACTACGCAACAGCAGCAATCTACAAGTTTACTCTCAGAAAAGGGTAAACAGATGGCCTCTGGATTTGCACAGTTGTGGCAAACACTCAGCACACTTCCCCTGAAACCCTCAGAGCCCCACCAAACCAGCCTTTTACACAGGGCAGAAGGCTGGAAGAAACTTCTCAAAGGTGGGGGGTCCTAAAGCTACTGAGCTAGTCTCTAAGAAGATCACCCAGCGTACCACTGTCCACTACCAGAGCCACTATGCATATGTAGTGCAATACATATAATTATAATTTTAAAGCCGGGCGTTGGTGGCGCACGCCTTTTATCCTAGCACTCGGGAAGCAGAGGCAGGCGGACCTCTGTGAGTTCAAGACCAGCCTGGTCTACAGTGCGAGTTCCAGGACAGTCTCCAAAACAATACAGAGAAACCCTGTCTAGGAAAACCAAACCAAACCAAAACAAAACAAACCAAAACAAACATAAAAATAAATAATTTTAACCCCAAAAATAAACATTTTACTATTACTATGTTTAAAATACCTGAAGCTCTATACCTACCTTTCCATTTGTTTATGGACTCTAAATACAGATTAAATATCTCCTGAGAAAGTTATCAACAGCCCCAGAAATACAGAGCTTCTTCAACTTGATAAGGTATCTACCAACAAACAACACAAACCCCTACAGTCAGCATTACAATTAATTATGACAGTCAGCCGGGCGTTGGTGACGCACTAGGGAGGCAGAAGCAGGCGGATCTCTGTGAATTCAAGGCCAGCCTGGTCTACAGAGCAAGTTCCAGGACAGCCTCCAAAACAATACAGAGAACCCCTGTCTCGAAACCCCCCCCCAAAAAAAAACCAACAACAAATTATGACAGTCTAAAGACTGCATCGAAGATCAGGAAAAGAGTAAGAATATCCCCAAGAGTCCTTTCCAACTAAGGGACTAAAGCAAGGTCCAGGGGATTCAATCACTCTGGCCTACACAGTCCACCAGGCACATGCAGGTAAAGCATTCATGCACATAAAATGAAATAATCTAAAAATTAAAAAGAGCAGCAATGAAGAAATTCAACATGATATTTCAAACATAAAACCATTCCCACCAGCACTGTCTAAAATAAAATCCCTAGGCATAAACCTTACAAAGTATGTACAAGATCTAAAATCATAAAATCATGGAAATAAATAAATAAAGGGATGTTATATATTCATGAACAGGAAGACTCGATTATTTTAGAATCAGTTTCTCCAAATTTGATTTAAAGATTAAAAACAATCCTAACTGCCAGGTTGTGGTGATGCATGCCTTTAATCCCAGCACTTGGAAAGCAGAGGCAGAGGGATCTCTGTGAGTTCAAGAGCAGGCTGAACTATGGATTGTGTTCCAGGACAGTCAGGGCTGTTACACAGAGAAACCCTGTCTCAAAAACCCAAACCAAAACAACTAAACAAAAAAGCTAAACTAAATCTCAAGTTATTCTGAGATTAACAACAAATTGATTCTAAAGTTTATAAGATATCTACATCTAATAAAATA